TAATAATAATAATAATATTATTATTATTATTAATGGTAATTAAAAGCTTACCTGCAAAACCAAGACGCAAGATATAATCACAACAGCTGCAAGCATATAGAGGCAACCTATAATCCACTCATTAGGGCTGGTATTAATGGCCAAATCCTCTCTTAAAAATATAGATCTCAAATTTGCTGATGCTGCGGGTTTTACAGAATTTCCCTGCAGGAAGCTCATCGCCATGGCTCCACTTAAGCATATCACAGTCCCCATTACCTTATATCTTGTATACTTGCACTTAATATCAAATTTCTCAATCCTACAATAAATAAATAAATATAATCAATATAGTTAATTTAAAAAGTATATTTATCTTTGGATTATGAATATAATTTAATTCATTGTTTTTACCTTAGACAAGATGCAATAATAAAGATGAGCCCTGGAGCTAAGTTAGGCATGGCTGTGGCTACTGCTGGGGTTGTCTTCTTCACTCCCAGGAGCATGAAAACTTGGTACAAAGGTGTCCTATATAATAATATAGAAAATATTATAATTCACACATTATTCATAACAAATCATAGGCTTAATTAACAATTAATTAAATACCTACTAGAAACGGCATCAAATTATTGCCTACTAGAAAATTCTCAATGGAAAAGAAATCTTAAGCCTTAGTTTAGTATAATTTTCTAACACGTACACAGATCAAAATTTAAAAGAACACAAATTTTGTTAAGTGAAAAATTCCTAAAATGAGAAAGAAATCACAGAGCCTAATCAAGCTAGAATAATTTACTATAAAATTGAAAGTATAGAGGTAGACTCTTTTCCATAACTTAGGGAGGAAGGGATTACAAAAGCTGACAAACATAACTTTATAATAAAAGTTATGAGAAAGAAATCACAGAGCCTAATCAAGCTAGAATAATTTACTATAAAATTGAAAGTATAGAGATAGACTCTTTTCCATAACTTAGGGAAGAAGGGATTACAAAACCTGACAAACATAACTTTATAATAAAAGTCCGGTTATATTAATCACAGCTTGAGGCTATAATAGTCGTAGTACAGCTATAAAAGTTGTAGTTAGAGGCTATAACAGCTGTGGTTGGCTACCAAAATTATTGGTGATGGTAGAAAATGGCTAGTAGTCGACAAAGACATATTGTGATAAGCGACGGACTCTGTTGGTCAACTACAATCTCGAGTGATCAGTGAAACCATTGATACTTTAAGAGTTAATATTCAGTAGTCAGTTCACTCTCTTCTATTTTCTTCTCTTGTCCTCCTCTCCCCTTTCAAGTAAAGAATGAGGGTCCTTAAAATTTTTGAGATGTACATTTCGATAAAGTTAATCAAGGCATCAAAACACTCTATCAAACGGTCTACATTGATTTCGTTAATCACAAGTGATTTTTACAACAATTATGTGTCATAATGACCTCAAAATTAAATGATATTGGGCTTCTTGAATTCCTCACATTGAGTCGCTTAACATGACTATAAGCATGCAAAATTTTGAGATTATTTATTCTTCTAATGAGTGTTATAAAGCTTCTAAATACACTTCAATTGTTTTATTCAAGCTTATTTGGACTACTTTCAATTTCATTGAGTTCTGTCTTTCGAGATACTAGTTTAACTATAAATTGTTAAAATCGTTGCATGGATGAACTTGAATTTGAATTAGGAATATTTCTTGCGTGCAATGCATCGAGATTAGTGCTTGAAAATATAGATTACTTTATAGCGCATCAATTTAATATTTTATTACTTTTATTTTCTACATAAAATAGATTTCTATTTTCATTCTCTGCGAGACAATTATATTTTTGAGGAAAAATAAAAATATTTACAATTTTGTTATAGATTTTATGATAAACATATTAAGGGAAATTTACATACAAACCACAAAATTCTTTTTATTTACATATCTACTACCTAATTTTTCATATTATATTTATAATACTTTGGCCTGTTAAATTTATGCATGAAACCGTGATTTAAATTTTATAAAAGTAGTTGATAGATGTATTTTATTTTTATGTGATATTAAATATTTGTGACATAGAATGTAATTTTAGTAGTAGTAGCTCTAGTGAAAGAAGTGTGACTTCGGGTGATCAAATTATTAAAAGGTGTGAACGATTTAGATATCTTGGGTCTGTTGTTCAAAGCGATGGTGATATAGATGGGGATGTTAATAGTAGAATTCAGGTTGGTTGGTTGAAGTGGAGGAATGCTTCGAGCCTTTTGTGTGATAGAAAAGTACCGCTTATACTGTAAGGAAAATTTTATAAGACGGTGGTGAAACCAGCAATGCTCTTTGGCGCTGAATGTTGGCCTTTAACAGAGAAGTATAATAATAAGTTAATTGTTGCCGAGATGAGAATGATTCGGTGGATGAGTGGCTTTACACTTAGACACAAAATGCGAAATGAATATATTCGTGATAGGGTTGGTGTAGCTCCTGTGACAGACAAAATTAGAGAAAGTTGTTTTAGATGGTTTGGTCACATTAAACGCCAATCATCTGATGATCCGATTAGGGGAGTAGATGTTTTAGATTCGACTTCTATTATGAACCGATTAGGGGAGTAGATGTTTTAGATTCGACTTCTGTTATGAAAGATCTTCTATTATGAAAAACTTATTGTATAAAAAATGATCTTAATTTACTAGAACTAAATGAAAATATGACACTAAATAGGACGCAATGGAGAAAAAGGATTCATGTAAGTATTAATGTTTAAAGATTTAAGTCCCATGTAAATATTAATGTTTAGGTATTGTTTTTTTTTTTAAATATGCAAAAGTTGTGTGGTATGTTGTAAATGCCTCATAATTTAGCTATTTATTATAATTTTACTCCATTAAAATTATCCGATTTTTTTTTTTCCAAAATAAGTATATTTACCACTTAGAGACTTGGGGGAATATAATAACTTACCCTCCAACTGCGATTAGAGCGAGCCGCATAGCCAAGTGGAGTCCCATCTTCTGCGGCCAAATTTTCCTGTGCAAGTTGAGAGAATAGTTATTTATTTTAATAATTAAATATGGCATTATTGTCCTACTATATTGTTGATAAAGTATGGAATAACTTTATGCCTATGATAATTTTAAAAAATATTAGATATTTTTCTTATGTAATTATAATATTACAATTTGAGCTTTTATATTTTATTGAGTGCTGTGGTTTAATGGAGGTTGATAATTTGATGCATTTTTGACATTAAGGGTCTGTTTGGGGCAGCCTGTTTGGGGCAGATAATCTGTTGATAAGTTGATTAAAAATAATCTGTTGATAAGCTAGGTGCGGTGACTATTACAAATTTTTATTTTTTTTTGAAAATACAGACCTCAGCCAGAAAGCTACCGCCGCACCTAGAAAGGTGGGGTGTGAAAACACTGTTTTCAGCATTTTGAAAACACATAAATTGCCAAACAGGTCAGGTGTGTTTCCAAAACGCCACCGCACCAAATAAGCTGCTCCAAAAGAGCCCTAATTAGTTGAAATATTGCGTGAATTGAGCAAATGAAAATATTGTCTATGTAATATTATGCTATTTATAACAAAAGATATTTAATTCCATATTATTTTTTCACATTAAGTATATATAATTTATTTGGTCTGGAATAACATTAATAAATAAAGTAATTATTGTAAATAATATCAATATCGACCAAATTAATGATATAATAATAATAATACTAAGTGATGTTTCAAGATAATCGTAGGGCAAACAATCCCAATGTTTTGATATATTATTCCGAATATTAAAGCAATTAAAAGACTTTTTTTTTTCTTCAATTAGAAGCATAATGAGTACCTTTCGAAGAAAATAGCTAAGGGAAGGAGAAGGAAGGCATTGAAGAAGCCGGCGGCGGCGACAAGGAAGAGAGGTTGGAGGCCGCCGGCGAGAAGTCTGGAGATGAAGACTGTGTAAAAGGCGTAGGTCATTTGAACGCCGATCAGGTTAGCCACGACAGTGGCTTCCATCCACCTTCCATTATTAACCTTTGAGCTTATAGCCATCTCCTCTATCGCAGGAGGAGAGAGGGAGGGAGGGAAGAGTGGAAGAGTGGTTAGGAGAACATGAATGAGAGAGGGAGGGGCGAGGACTACATATCCGACACCAAAACTTGGAACCACTTGTGCATTAAGATGTGTATTTCACTTAAAAAAATGTTAATCATAATGATGATTTTAATATGATATAAAGAGTCGGTACTCGAAGCCCCTAATTATTGAAGTAATGTGATATGCACGAGAAATTATTGCATACGGATGCGGTGTCTGAGGTCAGGATTATTTCAGTTTTTTTTTAAAAAAAAATTTAGGTGGGGCCCACCGAAATACATCATGACGGTCAGGATCGGACACCGCACGTGCGGTGTCCGATCCGTATGGAATAATTTTTCGATATGCAACTTCCTGACTGTTGGAAGACAGAAAGTGTTAGGGGAAGCACCACATCTAATTGCTCTTTCATGGGGTTTTATTAGCCTAAATAATATGAGCAAAAAGTGGTAGTCTTTTGTAATAAATATGTCTCACATATTGAACCTTCCAGTTGAACTTTGTTCTTCACAGGTTTCTTCAATTTAATTAAAAATCTATAAATAAATTATTATTTAGTAAAATTTGAAATTCTTTTTAAACGAGTAGCTATCTTTTTGCATGAATCGTTACAAAAACTTATCTTATTAACTACTGTTACATACCGTCGGTAATAATGTATAAATCGTAGGTAATATGTTTTCTGATGGTTTAGCTACGGTTTATTCAACATAGCAAAAACGTATCTCAATAATAAAATTACATGCGGAATTTACGACGGTTTATATTAACCGACGGTTATCCAACGCGCAGTAACGTTGCTAGCGATCTAAAAACATGTTATGTTTAGCCATAATTTGTTTGTCAGTTACATAACTAATGTATATATCCGTAGGAAAAGAGTTGCACTTCAATCGAAAAAGTGTCATAGTTTCGTCAGTAAAGTGTGACACAATCTTCAGTTAACCATAGAAAATTACTGATTGTTTTATCCAAAGTAAAAGTGTAGCACTCTATTCAGATGTCGCTTATTCAATAAACCATCAGGAAATTGTCCGCATATAATAAAATAGTTGTAAAATGATCAGTAAGTCTTCAAAAACCTATAGCATAAGAAAAAAAAAAATTAAGCCCTCCTTCAACAGCTTAATCTACAAAGTTGCAATTGCAACAGTGCGATCCACACACAACAAACAAAATAATGGACCTAATTAATGCATAAATCATATACATAAATAAAAGAAAAACAATTAGAATAAAGCAAACAAAATGAACGTCTGTCCAATAAAAATAATGTTCACAACCAATAAATTGTTTAACATACAAACAAAGATAAAAAAAAAATAGTCTCCTACTCATTCTACTCTATCCTCTCCATCATCGTCCTCCTTCTCTTCATCCAGAACTAGTTGCTTCTCTTTCTGCAATTCAGAACACTATCACTTTAATCTTAGCTTTCATC